GGCCGGCCGTTTCATGCTGGAGCCGCCGGACCGGGTGGCAGCCTCGCCGGTCCGGCGGCATTCCTCTCACTAATGCTGAAGGAGGAGGAGGAGCATGTCTCTCTGTCATGCTCCCTGCGGTTCCCACAATTCCCAACACAGGATGTGGGAACCGCAAAGGAGCATGACAGACACATGCTCTTCCTCCTTCAGTGTTAGTGACCCGGTCCGGCGGCTGCAGCATGAAACGGCCGGCCCCCTCACAGTGTGCCACCGGACCGGCCACCCGGTGGCACCTTCCTCAAGTCCCCAAATGCCACCCCCAATCCAGCCCTGCCGCCGGGCCCCCTGAAGGCGGCCCTGGCGGCGGGCCCCCCTCCCAGCCGGGCCCTCGGACCATGTCCGAAGTGCCCGACCGGTCAGTCTGCCCCTGCTCACAGCCTTCCTACCCACACCTTGTCACAGTCATCCCCACCCTGTCTCCCCACACACCGTCACAGCCACTCCCACACACTTTGTCACAGCCCCCCCAAACCCTGTCACAGCCCCCCAAACCCTGTCACAGCCCCCTCACACACCCTGTCACCTCTCCATACATGCACCCTGTTTCCTCCCCACACACCCTGTCACCCTCCCACAAACACTATATCATCCCCATACACACACTGACACCCCAATATCACCATCCACAATCACTTTCAGCTCCCACACACTGTTACCCCTTCCACCAGCTGTATATATTATGCATTTGCACTTCTATTTTTTTTTTAGGGGGGCTGGGGAGGGGGAGGTGGATCTTGGATGAGTTTCCACAATTTGTTTCCCCAGGACTTGGCCCCTGTATATATATATAGTTAATACAATGTTAAACAAAAATCTGCTCATCAGTCAAGCCTTGCTTTACCCACAGGAATCACAAATCTGCAGTGATGTAACTACTGCAAAGGATTCTGGGTGGGCATATGCAAATTAGTTCAACAAAGAATCACATTTTTGCCTCATTCTATTTTAAACATGGATTCCTTCGATTTTGTATTTGCTGTATACAACAGCTTTGAAACAAAACTTGGGAAAAGATGCAAAGCCAGTGAACCACTCATGGACAGCTGATCATTGTTAATGCAAATCATCAGCATGAGGTTGGTTACTGGCTTGCTAGTACGGCTTGGCAGTGCTTTGGAAACAAAAACCAAAAAAGGTTATGGTGGGGGAAAAATTGAACTCAGCAACATTCTACATTTCTTCTAGAACAAAAGCTGAAATACAAATGTTTACAAATGACATATAAAGAAAATATATATAGATATCTATATATAGTCTTTATACAGTGGGACCTCGGTTTACAAACGCCTCAGTTAACATAATTTTCGGTTTACAAATGAAAATCCATTGAAAATAATGCCTCGGTTTACAAATCTTTTCACAATACAAAGCAAGTTTCCCCAGGATGCATTGCACCTGGGAGGTTTATAGCACCGCCCCCTGCATGCTGGAGCCTGTAGGTAGCACGTGGCGTAGAGTGTGGAGGTGTTGGAGCGGCTTTTGCATCGAGTTTTGGAGCCATTCTGGAAATTGTTTGCAGTTGTTTTGGGACTTTTCAGTGAATTTCTCAAGCTGTGGAAAGGTAGGGAGCTGAGCTTCGATGTTTGTATGCCTTTTATTGTGTTCTGCACTGTGGGTTGGTTCCCGTGCCAGCTCATTTTGACTTTTTTTCTGACCTCCAGAACAGATTAATTGGTTTTCAATGCATTCCTATGAGAAACCACATTTCGGTTTCCAAATTTTTCGCAATAAGAAACATCCCGGAGAACACATTAAATTCGTAAACCAAGGTCCCACTGTATGTAAATTGTAGATATTTATATCTATATATATTCTTTATATGTCATCTGTAAACACTTATTTCAGCTTTCGTTCCAGAAGAAATGTAGAATGTTGCTGGGTTCAATGATTATTCTCTAAGTATAAGATGTTATCAGCGTACTAATACGCTGCTTGAAGATGGCTCAAATTTAAATGGTCATTTATATTATAATAAGTAGCGTTTCCAGACAGATTATGAAACATGCAAGCAGTTAGTAGTTATATATAAATAACTTCCCAGACAGCAAAACACAAATTACCCAGGAAGAATTCTGCTATAAACAGAGCATTTTGTCGGGAAATATTATTAGAGCAATAGCAATATAGTAATCACTGCTCGGCACCTGTTAATTACACTCCCGCCAGCCAGAGCAGGTATTTTCGAGGATTTATGTCACTTAACAACACACCGGCCATGCAGCCTCTCTTTTTAATATTTCTGGATAAGCTTTTCAAATCATTTCATACTTTTGGATTAACTTTTAAAATTATTTAATACTTTGAAAAAGTTAACATTTTTTTTGTAATTTTATTTCAAAAACATTTTCCATCCATAGTAAAAGAGTGGGGAGACATGCAGGTCTCCAGCATTATATGGCGTAAGTGCAGTAAGGTGAGATGCGCAGATCTACGACAATGTTTAAACAGAAGAGACACGCAGGTCTGGGCAGCATATTAAACAAGTCAAAAACACAGCAATGAAAGCATTAGTGTCATCGCACATATCAGTATGCGTTTTACATGATGTGCCTCCCTATTTTGCTAATGTAGTTAGTAACAGTGAGAGGCTTGCCCCAATGCACAGAAGTCAGAGGCGCCTTTTGGTTACCACCAAGCTAAAATTCCCACGGAGAGCCCATGTCACCACCCTAATGTACCTTACATGTCCTCTCCTCCAAACCCTCACGGGGGCAAAAGAAGAAGAAGAGAAAAATCAAAAAGGCAGAACAAGCAGTGTTAGGTTCCTCAATTACGAGAGTGTCCCCTGATGGAAGTCGTTGTGTGAGCCATTTAAAGAAAGCAGATCCTCTAAGTCAAATTTTGGTATATCCTGTCTAACTCCCAGGACCCAACTGTCTTTCTCCCAAACAGTGTTAGCTTAATGATGCTGTCTAGTTGGTGTGTGATTGAACCAGAGGCATAGCTAGAGTTTTTGCCACCCGGGGCTGCCCAGTCCGGTGCAGTAGTGGACGTCCATGGCTGCACCAGACATACCTCCTTTAAGTACTCAACGCCTCTAGCCCAACAAAACAACCTTTTCAAGCTTTTTAAAAAAAATGTACACCCAATGAATACATACATGAAAAATGAATGCATGTAATTCATTGGATGCATGTCTACTAAACAGTGATTTTATGGGGGGAGGAGGGTTGCCCATTTGGGCAGAGTGTTCCTTTAAATAATTATTGTTACTGAAGCTCTTCAGAATATTTAACTTTTTACTGGTATGAAAAGAAACACTTAGGAGTGAAACACAGCTTATTGAATTAAATTTTGTATACACATTTAAAAAACATATACTTCTATTTTTTGGCAGGGAGGGAGGGGGTGTGTGGAAGGGGGCTGTGGAAGGTGCAGGAGTGGAGTGGGATCTGTGCAGGGACAAAGGGGATATGTGCAGGGGGGCAGGGAGAGAGTGGATCTGTACGGGGGGGCTGTTCAAGGTAGGGAGGGGATCTGTGCAGGGGAGGAGGGGGGCTATCAGGGAGACAGGGGGAGAGGGGATCTGCGCAGGGGAGGGGGACTGTCAGGAGGGCAGTGGGAGAGGGGATCTGGGAAGGATAGGGAGAGGGGATCTGTGCAGGGTGGGGGCTGTGCAGGGAGATAGGGGGACTGTGAGGGTGCAGGGAGGAGGGGGCTGTGCAGAGTGTATGGGAGTGAGCAGGGGCCTTGCCACCCACCAAAAAGTGTTGCCTGGGGTAGACCGCCCCCTTCTTCCTCCCTTGCTATGCCAGTGGATCACCCAAGATCCCCAGTCTCTGTCAACCCGATAGCAGACCCACCTCTCATTGTATAAAGGTTTGAAAGTCAGCTGAGTCAGTGGATAAAATCCATTACATCCAAATGAGCATGTATGTCTGGGATTATCCATCAGCATGAAAAGGTTGTTCCAACATGGGGCAGAGCTCCTCAATGCGGCTAAACCAAAGGGCAAGAAGAGGCTGTGCCATCTTCCTCCAGAAAAGGGGTATCAAATGATGTAAGGGCCCTAGCAATCATAGGTCTCTGAGGGCGAGGGGGAGAAATTCCAATAGTTGTCTTATTTTTATATTTTTCATATATTAATATAGATTTTTTTTTGTGTGAGTAATATGTTTTTTTGATTATTTTTTTTTTTTAATATTCTTTATTTTCGGTGCATTGAGGAATGTAATATAACATACTTGTGCTGCCATTACAACATAGGCAGATTGGTGAACGGCATTGTTATTACCATCGGTCAGAGTTAGTCCATATGTTTTACATTTATAGCGTAACAAGAGTAAGTGGTGGGCAGCAAGCATATTGTGTTCTACAGTCTAAGGAGCTAATGTGTGTCCATGTAGCCAGGGAGAGCTTTGAAGTCCTGTGTCTGCACTTTTTCTTGTTTTCTAGTGAGTTGAGTGTGCCCATGCTATGGGTTCATATGGAGTAAGCTGGATATGAGTAGATATGTCTAGTATGTACATATTTATGGAGTCTTGTGAGTGGTTGATTGGCACCTTCCTCAGCTGTTTGAGGGGGCACTAGTTGATTGTTTGGTTCTGGCGTTCATCACCGGTTGAGTGGGCATACATGCGTCTGTCTGTGCCTAGGTGTGGTTTATGTGTCCTTTATGCTATGCATGGAATAGTGGGTAGTGTCGACCCCTAACCTAAGAGGATCGCAGGGGGTGGGTGCACGTCTCGGTCTATATAGGAGGAGACATTAATAAAACTTGTATTGTAGAGAGAGCAGTAGGGTGAGCTCAGATAAGAGAAGAAAAGAGAAGAGAAGAGAAGAGAAGAGAAAATTAATGTGGTGTTCAAGTCTCTGCCTCCGGTCTCTTGTTCTGAGCTTGTGGAGCCAGTCTCCTGGTCTTGTTCGACCGCCATTTTGTGGCCTGCAGTGCGTTGTAGTAGGGCCCCTATGTCTTGTGAGTCCCTGGGTGCAGCTTGCTGTGGCTTCTGTGATCGCCTCCCCATTTCTTCGCTGGGTGATTGGTAGTGGTCTGCCCGCTGTCTGTCCCGCGGGTAGTTGCGGTGCTGGTGGGAGGGCGAGGTAGGCCCGAGATTTGCGGGTTCGTTTTTTGCCTGGTTGTGTGTATAAAAAGGGCATCGGTGGGTAGCCCTGGGAGCCCTGGTGTTGTATCTACGGGTCCCACGGGTTGATGGTCCCCCGTACCTGAGATGCGCAACGGATTGTCTGTTGATGCTGGGGAGCCATGGAGAATGGCGTCCATTCGGCTCTGTGGTTAAGCTCCGCCCCCGTTTTTTTATGTTTTAATATTTAAAAAATAATAATTCTAATAGTTGATCCAAAATATAAAATTATTTGAAAACCTTTCCCAAAAAATATTAAATCATGGCCTAAATTTGGTTGACGTATGTTTGGTCCAATGTAAGAAAAATGTTTTCCAGAACCCTACGTGGTCCTACAAGATGCAAACAGAATAGACAAAGAATACTCATAGAATGTGTGAGGGGACATAGGATAATGTTCCCATTTGAACAAGACTTTCTAAAGCCTTTTCAGGTTTGTGAGAGGCTGGTTTTGCTAAACTGTCACTAGGCATCTAAATTATGGTAAAAACTAGGGGAAGGTTTGATAACACAGAACCAAATATTTAACAGAATATGAGCAGCAGTGAATAAAACCAGTATGCCAGAGTAAAAAGATTGCAGAGGTAAAGAGAGATATTTGATAGTAAGAGATAAAATCTACCACATATTACACACTAATTCATGTATGAAGAGCAATATATATGATGACAATGATTTTTACTTAAATATATTCAACAAAAAGGGACACAATTAACACTATAATGGTTATTCACTAAAGTGAGAATTCAAGGTTGATGCAAGATAAAATAGCTGAACTGGATACATTCTCCCAAACAGTGTTAGCTTAATGCTGTTGTCTAGTTGGTGTGTGATCACCCCATTGGCGTAGCTAGGGCTTTTACTACAATTTCTTCTTTATGGAAGTCTGCTAATCCAGAACAATTGTGGCGGTCCCTTGTAAACTGTCTCTTTATATATCCGTTATTGATATGGACTAGTGATTCTTTCATATGAGTATAAATGATCAATGTTTCCCATATACTATATAAGGGAATCTGTATCAGATCTCTATAGAATTGAAAAAATTAAAATAATTTCGGAGGGGCAGGGCCTGACAGCCAAATACTCTCTGAGAGCTCCTGCACCGGAGGGCACAAAAATGCCAATACTAACAAACCTAACCGAGCCAATGGCCCACGGTGCTCAGAAAACAATACAGAAACTCACTGGGACCAAAACAGTACTGATCACGCATCGAAATGATTCACGAGCACATGACCCGGCCATGCGGCCTACACTGAAGCAGAACCTAGGGCCTGAGGGAAGCGGCCGATCGCCCGGCACAGGATCCGCTCACAAGCATGAATTGCACGATGCCCTGCTACCCCTCCCTCTGGACCGGCGGGGGATATCCCGGTCCTCGCTGGGGACGGACACCCCCACTATGAGACACAAACAAGCGACAACACTTCAAAAATAAAGAATTTTAATAAATAAATAATTTCACGAAACATAAAAAGTTAAATTTTTCCATATTTGAAATTATGTATGGATCATCAAACCAAATTCAATAAAGTGTCTGGATGTATACTCAAATAGAGACATGTTATAAAACTCTTTTTGTATATAAATATAAATATCAGCCATTAATTTATCTTTGTGCCCTTGTCTAAATTTAACAGAGCTTTAAATGTATACTGGTAGCTCTCTATAGGAAGAATTACATCAAGAGACACTTCACTTGCTTTTTTGAAGTCTGTTTAAAACTTTTTTGAAATCACTTAGTCATGTCTTTTAAGCATTTCAGGCTCCCACTAGCATTGCCCATCTTGCGAACCAAGGGTGGAACGCAAGATGGCCATGGAATGGAACACATCTGTCATTATTAGAAGTCAGCCGAGATCGGCGCACCGCAAGTGACGTCACGGAGTAACATCTGATCGTCGAAAACCGTGAAAAATGATTTAAAGAAATGAGACACAGCTGGGGAAGCCAGACAACACCCACTTGACCATAATTTGGTTGCTCAGACTACTAACTGGTCCCTGAGGAAGTCCCTTTCGGACGAAATTCGTAGAACCTAGCACCTAGCATAGCATCACTTTTATTGTGTTTTTTAACTTTTTTTTTATAAATTCTTTATTTTGAGAATTTTAGCGTTGTATATGGGGTACAGAAAAGAGAAAATGGGGAAAAGGGAAGCAACATTATATAATGTACAGCATCATCCCGAAGACCTCATTCCTAGGCTTTCCCTGTCCCCCAAGTCTGAAGTCCCACTGCGCTTGAATGGACCGTCGGGGGAGGCGTCTGTCTCGTCACCCATAGAGGGAGTGGGTGCAGTAAAAGTTTTAAGCTGTGCCACTGGGCCTGCGCAGCCTATGGCCTAAGTCAGTGTTGTAACTGTAGATTGAGGTCATCGGAGACTTAACGTATCTGAACCATAAGGGGAAAGCTCAACTGGAGCTAACATGGGAAGTAAGGCCTATCCATGTCTAGACATGGCGAGAAGAAGAGAAAGAAGAAAAAAAACAAAAAGGTATGTAGGTCTCTATATGTCAGTGTAACGTCTCCCCTGTTCTAAGTGCTTATAATCTGTCAGCGTGCGTGTATGAGGCGTGCCTAAGAGGTGGAGCCGTGCTCAAAAAACTTGCGGCAAGAAGGGTCCGAGGAGCCGGGATCTCCCCCCTGACCTCTCTCCCCCCCTCGCCGGCCTTACACAGTGCCCCAGGGGCTCCAGACCCTCCCAACCGATGCAGTCGTCTCATGAACCAGGGCAGATAGCTCATCCATCTCCTTGGACTCCTCTATTTTCCGTCGTACTTCTGGCAGAGTTGGGATTTCCGCCCTCCCCCAGTGCGCTGCAATGGCCCGCCGTGTCGCGAGGGCTATTTTTGCCACTAGTTTATTCTGTGCCCTAGGTAGTGCTTCTAAGGGTTTGGACAGCAGCCGTATCCACGGATCCAGTGGGAGAGCCGTTTGTAAGGCTCTGGAGGCGATGTCAGCAACCGCCTTCCACAATTCAGATATACGCTCGCATTCCCACCACATGTGGAAGTACGTACCCTGGGCCCCACAACCTTTCCAGCACCGGTCGGAGGTCGATTGTCGCATCTGTTTGAGCTTTAGGGGGGTGACATACCATCTGAGCAGGGTTTTATACGCCTGCTCTCTGTGGTTCACACAGATCGTAACTGAAGCCGTGGCCTCCCAAATTTCTGCCCAGTCTGATGGATCGGCCGGTGGGCCCATGTCCCTCTCCCACTCCCTCACGTATAAAAAGGCCTCCGGAGGGGTGTTTCTGGCAAAGATATCGTAAAGTATGGATATCTGACCTCTCCTTACCGGTGTGTGCATGCTCATTTTCTCAAAAGGTGTAAGCTGCTTTGTGGCTGCCCCTCTAATGTCCGGAATGGACAGAAAGCTCCTTAACTGGAGATAGCTGAAATGATCAAAAGAGTTGAGAGGGGTAGATTGCGGTAGGTCTGCAAATGGGAGAAGGCGGTCACCCTGGAAAAAATGGCAAAGTCTGATGAGGTTGTTGTCTTCGAAGCGGGCAAAATGCTTAGGTGTCATACCTGGGGGAAATTGCGGATTCCGCAAAACTGGGGTGAGCGGTGAGGGCGTATTGATAAGAGATGTTTTGCCGTTAACTCTATCCTACACCTGCAAAGACGTCCGCAGGGCCGGCGTGGTGTGGGGCAACTCCGGCCGGTGAGGTTTCAGCACCCAAAAGTACAGCGATGCCAAAAAGCAAAGCGATGGGTGGTCCCTCCCAAAGAGGTCATGTTCCAGGTCGACCCAGATTTTGATCCCCACCGGTGCATGAAGCGTCAGGACTTGCGCCAACTGGGCTGCCTGGTAGTAATCCCACAGATTCGGTAGGCCTAGACCCCCCCTCCTGTGTGGAATTGTGTTTTTTAACTTTTGATAATAGCAGTTTATCTATCTTTCAACCCTAAGTCTGGCTTTTCCATGCTGCAGTATCATCATTGAAGGAGAGAGCAGTGGATTAGCCCCCATCTACATCAGGGGAGGCACCCTTTGGGCGATTTATTGCCTTCTATCTTGTGAGTGTTACCTATTCAGCGCTTTTATTTATTTTTAACAGCTGTATTCTCCAGATTTTTGGGATATCTCTGGAGGAAGCTGTCACCACTATCTATTTAGATAAGTGCGGTTTTTCACTACACTAATACTTTTTAAGTGTGGGTAATTATTATCTCTCTTTTTTTCTGTGTATATATGCTTCCAGTTTGGTTACTTTGAATTTGCTTGAAAGTCACTTTGAATTCAGTTTGAATTCTGACTTTGGTGAATAACCCTGTATGAGTAATTATTGATTTTTCGTAATTTTTTGCAGATTTGTAAAGAGTTTAAATGCATACTGTATGTCGAACTTCTACATAAAAGTATTTTTTGTTTACATACGTCTTTAATATTATGTACACTATTTGAATTGTTTACTTTTATGTATTAACTAATATTGTGTGTTTGCACATTTTTTTTTTTTATTTATTTTTTTTTTTTGCTTGCTTCAAACCCACAATGGTAAACCTATATGCATAATAGCAGGTATTAACAGATTTCAACAATGACTATACAATGCATGTGTCAGAGCTTAGCACAAATGTTTCTTTTAGTTATAACAAGCAGATAATACTAGGTGGTGAGTAAGGTCTAGAATATGTGTAGCTAACTTTGAGATTGTGGTTTTGTTACCTAAGTCGTGGGTCGGTTGCGGAGGTCTGGCATAGTGTGAGTGTTATCAGCGGGCTGGTCGTGGTTCTGGTTCGTTGCTTGGGTCAGTATGGGTTTGGTAGAGGTTGTAATTCTGGTTGTTGAGTCCTGTGAGTAAGTCTTCAGAATGCTCTACCTCTCGGTAGAGGTGTAGTTGGCTTGAGCTCAATAGAGACTACTCATGAGGGGTGGTAGCCCTAACCTACGGGCTGTCGGGGGGTGTGTTCCATCTTGCGCCGTGATACATGTTCTGTGGACGCGGTATTGTGTGTCAGCGCCTTCTCTAGCAGGCTCCTATAGTAAGCATTAAACTAGTGTCGTAAATTGTGTAACATTAACAAGTGTGCGCGTGCAGTAAATGGTATATAGGCATTTTATAACATGAATATTTTGTATTGCCTTTTGAACAGGCAGGGGTAAGAGACTTCTCCCCCTACCT